TGGACTGGACTGGACAGGATTGCAACACAAGGAAAAAACAAAAAAAAATAGATGCACAATGATAAAAAAAAAGAAGTACAATCGGAGTAGCAAGGAAAAAGAGACTAACATGTGAGGAAGCACAATCAAAGCAGAATCAGGAAAAAAAAAAAAAAAACAGAATCAGAAAAAATAAAAGAGACCAACAATCGTAGCAAAATCAAAATAATAATAATAAAAAAAAATAGAAGCACAATCTAAAAAAAAAATAGGAGTAGAATCGGTGAGAAAGAAGTAGAAGAGAGAAGAAAAAAAGAGAAATTAAAGAGAGAAGAAGAAGAAGAGACTAACCTGTGATGGNGTACAATCGGAGTAGCAAGGAAAAAGAGACTAACATGTGAGGAAGCACAATCAAAGCAGAATCAGGAAAAAAAAAAAAAAAACAGAATCAGAAAAAATAAAAGAGACCAACAATCGGAGCAAAATCAAAAATAATAATAATAAAAAAAAATAAAAGCACAATCTAAAAAAAAAATAGGAGTAGAATCGGTGAGAAAGAAGTAGAAGAGAGAAGAAAAAAAGAGAAATAGAAGAGAGAAGAAGAAGAAGAGACTAACCTGTGATGGTCTCTGTCCACCCTCCAGACTAGCGATCATGTAGAAGCAGCGATGGTGTTTGTACTGTGTTCAGCGATCGAGTAGGTGTAACGAGCAGCGAAGTCCTGTGTCCAGCAATCGTGTAGGAGTGGAGCAACANCCCTCCAGACTAGCGATCATGTAGAAGCAGCGATGGTGTTTGTACTGTGTTCAGCGATCGAGTAGGTGTAACGAGCAGCGAAGTCCTGTGTCCAGCGATCGTGTAGGAGTGGAGCAACAAAGCCAATCTGAGCTCCAGCGAAGCCAATTTGAGAAAAAATTAGGTTTGGGGTTATATTTATGGGATAAGGGAATAATTTGGTGTATCAACATCTTATAATTTTTTTTTCAATTGCCCAATCTAACGGCNTGGAGCAACAAAGCCAATCTGAGCTCCAGCGAAGCCAATTTGAGAAAAAATTAGGTTTGGGGTTGTATTTATGGGATAAGGGAATAATTCGGTGTATCAACGTCTTATAATTTTTTTTTCAATTGCCCAATCTAACGGCCCGTAATAAAAAAAAAAAAAAATTGCCTGGAATGACGAAGGTGTTCGTTTTTTCGCCAGTCGCTTCGCTTTTTTCTCGCTTCGGTCACATTCGCTTCGCCTGGGGTCCTCTAGGTGAGATACCTTCGTTTCGCCTCGCTTCTTACCTAGGCGAGCTTTTAAAAACACTGCATCAATCGATGACAAATGAGGGAAATCCCCTTATTGCCATACGTCCATGCATTCTTATCTTACTCCTCAAAAGTTTCATCCTCCACCTAGTGTTCTCCTCCCAAACAACCTCTTCAACATTAGCCAGATTGACTGTATCTCTCTTAGGGCACTGATTAGAATGATGTCTTGGTTGACTGCATCGAGAGCACGTATCTCCTCTAGGTCTGGCATAAGAATTCTTAGGTGCTTCATTCGCCACTGGGATAGAACCCGAACCCAAGGCAACTGCCCTTGCAGGTTCCTCGTCGTTATTAGATTCTCGACTTGAGATTGGAAAACGGTTTGGAATNCTTCAACATTAGCCAGATTGACTGTATCTCTCTTAGGGCACTGATTAGAATGATGTCTTGGTTGACTGCATTCGCCACTGGGATAGAACCCGAACCCAAGGCAACTGCCCTTGCAGGTACCTCGTCGTTATTAGATTCTCGACTTGAGATTGGAAAACGGTTTGGAATACTCATAATTTGCTTTCCTCGGTTCACTACGGGTCGTGATATATCAAAGGAACTCCGATTTTACACTTGAGTCATTGCCCCTAGCTAATTGGGTTTGCACACGCGTGGCTAGGTGAATGATCTTGGTCAAAGAATATAAGGTTAGTAGTGAAACCTTATCCTGAATAGCAAAACGAAAGTAGGAATAAATCGAGCAATTTTTGGGGACTCGGTTTCATTGAAATTATTGCACAGAACAAGCTGGAACTTCTCTGTGTATACTTGAACAGATCTATTGCCTGTTTGCAATCTGGATACTGCAAAAATAGGATCTGTTCATAATCTAGGGGTAAAACCCTCGACTTCAGCAATCTCTTCATCTTTTACCAGTTACGAATTGGATACTTGCCCTCCTTGGTGTGGGCAAGCTGTATCTGTTCCCACCGGGCAGAGCCCTTCCTTTCAACTTGTAAGCTATCAGTTTCACCTTATTCTCATCTGGAACGTCCATATAGTCAAAGAATCTGTCCACTTTAGCCAACCAATCAAGAAAATCCTCAATATGAAGATGACTATTAAAGTCAAATTTCATGTGAAAATCTCTAGACTCACGGTCATGATTCTTATAGCCGGCCATGCTACCACGCAAATGCTCATCATCATCATCATCACTGGAATCTGCAGTAGATGCTACACAAACAGGTAGACCACGAACATTCTGTCTTGCTGGATAGACAAGAATATGATATTGAAGGGGTCGAACATGAGTTTTATCGTTGTTCTGTACCCTCTCTTTACCGGAATCTTGGTTTGGACTCGATGTCAACTGGGTAATTATAGCCCGCAACTATTGTAAGGATCGTTGGAACTGTTAGAATTACTATTGTTGTTGTTGTTGGAAATCCAAGAATTCGGCTCTCATAAGAACCTCTTCTGCATGATCACCGTCATAAGAAAGATTGTCACCACCTTATGGAAGGTTTTGATACCAATTGATGCAGCGATAGATGAAGGGACAAGAAAATCACTGTTTTCAAGTGTTAAGAACACAAACACTCTAAATCCACATAGAAAATAAGAGAAAACTCTCAAGAAATATTATAGATTTCAAACTTGGATGTTTCAAATGGTTACACAATGATCTTTTATACAGGGCTCTTCTACCATCTCCCAACTACCTAACCATATNAATATTATAGATTTCAAACTTGGATGTTTCAAATGGTTACACAATGATCTTTTATATAGGGCTCTTCTACCATCTCCCAACTACCTATATTTAATGCACCCAACCATTTATAATAACTCTATTATCTCTCAACTACCTACTTTAATACATTTTTTACATATGTCTACCAATTTCACTTACTCACAATAATACTTTTATTATCCTCCAACTATATTTCTCAACTACTCACTTTAATATCTTTCTAGAAAATTCTAGAAGTTGGGCTCAAATTGGATATCTATTTAAGGCCCATTATATTTGGGCTTATTACAAGATTGGTTCAATATCAAGATGGATCCACATCTGCACCTTATCTTACTTCAATAGTACACAATATGATATGTGGGGACGACCTACCTACTGGTCACTTAGAATTTTGGGCAATAAAACTTTAATACTCCAAATGTCACGTGCGTCGGAATTACCGATTGAGATATTGAAGGTCTCAAAGTCATTTTATCATTTCTATTAATGGTGTTAATAGTTTAGATTGGTCAAAGAGAGTGGGCCTCGGTACAACGACATGACTTCTCCATTTTGATTTGGACGTCAAGGGTTCAAGTTGCGGAAACAGTCTCTCTGCTTATAGGGCTAAGTTTGCATGCATCTGATCCTCTCCAAATTCTGTAGTGGCAAGAGCTTCATGGGCTGGACCTTTTTTTAGTTTAGATTAGTTTTGCAGGGGAGGCTAAAATAGATTTTCTCCAAGGGTTTAATGATTGGCTTGAGGATATCGAACAAAAATAAAAGGCATTTTGTGATTTTGTTGTATTTGTTTATCCTTTGTTTTGTTTGGTTATTTGTGAAAGCTAAATTGAATTTAAGAAGTGATTAATGGGTTATTTTCAATCAGGGTCCTCAAACGTATTATAAGATCGAGTGTGAAATTTGATGTTAATATTGTGATTTTGATTGGTTAGTATAGTAGAACATGAATTTTTTTTTGTGATAGTGGCTATGACTATTGAGATTTAAGGGTGTTGGAAGAACTTAAAATGATACCTGGTCTGGAGTAAGACCGATTCTAGGTTTGTATGTGCTTAAGAAAGCATTATGGCTATAAGTTCGAAATGGTTTCAACATTCGTTGATAGTTGGAGATTATTATTTTTGGCAGGTGAAATTGTGAGATCATAGTGCATAGCTCAAATTTTCATATGTACGGAGACGTTTCTGGCGATTTTGGTGTTCTACAACCAATAACGTTAGCCATTTTTCCATGGTCCTAAAAGAGTTTCTGACATTTAAGCTGTTATGTCTACCATATATGTTTTAGTTCTATGTGTTCTATCCAAGATATTATTACTCATGAGTCGCTTAGAATATGTTGGCTCAGGAACCTGTCTTAATAAGAGACCTTTTAAAATAACATCCCTGTTGCTTTTATAGTAATTAAAATTTAATTATCTTTTTTATTCTTGTTTATTGTGGCTGGATGATGTTGTGTATGACTAATGACTATTTTCTATATGCTAGTGATTGAGCTGACAAACATCATGTTGGCTTGAAGTTATTAAGATATACACACTTTGTGGTAGGTAAGAATAGTAGATCTTAGTTTCATAAATGTCTAATAAACAACAATTTGCAAAATTAAATGAGACATCATGTTGTAGACACAACAACGTGTTGTAAAACCAACAACGTGGAGTCAAGTACATCATGGTACAGAAAAAGGTATACACATATTTATACACATGGAGTTCTGGAATGACTGTATCTCTGGCTTAAAGTGGAGAACATGTCCATGTTCGATTTGATTATTTGATTCAAACTGAGGTGTTTATTGGTTTTGTTCTTCTATGTTATTTTTATTTTCTTGGGTCGCTATTGTTCTACTTGTTGCTTTTCTGCACGTCTTAGGATTTGTATCCAACAATGGGCCTATTCATTTCCCTTAATTTACCTTGTAAGAATATCTTTTATGGTTTTGAATCTTTTCATGAATCTTGATGTTACACTAGCATCTACTTCACAAGAATTTTTTTTGTTGTTTCCCAAATGCAGAAAGTTTGCCTCAGTTATCGATGTGCTGACATGGACCGGGAAATCCCTGCCCTTATGGGCGTTTCAAAGGCTGTACTAGAAAATGTAATATTTGTACACCAAGATGAGGCCAACTGGCCATTGCAGGATCCTTCTACATTGAAAAAAAAGTTCGATGATATCTTTTCAGCAACTAGGTATTTCTTAAAAGTCCTGACTATGCACAATTGACTATTGGTTTAAAGCCACATTTGTTTTTGGACTGAGCTTTCTATATCATTCCAATTTTATTCATACTATCTGTTTGCAATCTACATGTGTAAGATTTTTCCTGATCAACCTGCAGTTGGAATGGCACACTTTGCTAATTTTTTTTTTTTTAATAATATGAAACAAAATGATTCCATTGATTTGAAAGTATTATGTCCAAAATGGAGTAGGTGGACTAGCAGTCCTACCTAAAATTTTAAAAATATAGAAAGATAATAGAATAATCTGTGAATCACATGACGCTTACATCCCACCAAAATACAGAAAAGCGGAATACCCTNATAGAAAGATAATAGAATAATCTGTGAATCACATGACGCTTACATCCCACCAAAATCCAGAAAAGCGGAATACCCTTAGAATCTTTAGAAAACAAATCCCGAAAAGATGCTAACAACTAAATCCTATCTCATAAGCCATCCACCGTCTCATAGTGGTATTCAAATATTCTAGGATTCCTTTCCCTCCGATTGAGTAATGACCCAAAATGTAGCAAAGATTGCATAATTCTAATGGGTAATCCCTTTATAATCCTCCCCAAACCCCTGAAGCCTCAACGGAAATGGAAGAAAAAGACCCAATAATCACTCATACTTGTCAAACTAAATATTCTGTTCCACAAAAAACAATGCAATTGTGGAGAAAGATAAGTTAAAGTCTTCTCCACTAAAGTATATCATAGTATTATTGCACCATGAGCAATAGGCAATGCACAACACCTTTGCTCATCTTAACATGACTAAAACAGTATTATATGTGCATACGTGTGTTGGAAAAAAAGAAAAATCCCAAGAAAGAAAGAAACTGTAACAACATATATTTTATGTAAACAATGTGATATCCTATATTTTTCTATATGAATATCCTTTTTCATTATTGCTTTCTAAATTTTACATTTTCATGATCACTTTCGTTATGGTTTGGAAATGCATATTTTCTATGGATCCCATTAACAGAATTTTATCGGATACTTGCAATCTTTCTTTTCTTTTCTTTTTTTTTTTCCCCAGACGATAGTGTCCAATACGTGCTTTCCCATTGATTAGATATGTTCTACACAAGCTTGCATAATTTAATGAATTTAGTAGTGTTTTCTGGTTTATAATTGAAAGATGGTAGAAATAGAATTCCTTTTGAGACTGCTTTTGGGAAAGCAATAATATTTCATTTTACAGTGTAGTTTCACACATAGAATGTACCAGGTGTTTACCAATATGCTTTAACAACTTGTTTAACATTTCCTGAAATTGGTGTGAAGTATTTTTAAAAGAAAGTCAGCAAAGCTGGGGTTTTTGTATTCATTATATTCTTTTCAAAAAGCAATCAGCCCTCATTGAAATTTGAGTTTTTTAGTACTAATTTCAAAAAATGAAGGATTTCTTCAGCTGAGTCAAAATTGAAAACTTTGTAGAATAAGTGAAGAGCATCTGCAAATTTTTTCTGGAGCTGAATAATTTTTTTTTTTTTTTAACAAAATAGTGAAAGATCATTTCCATTATGGATGAGTAAAAGATTTATTAAAGGGCGCCGTCCTGTTGTATTGGGGGGTGGGCACCACCCATGGGCTAAGAACCTGTGGAGTAGAGTTACTGCTCTGTATGCTTTCCAGGCTCTTTTGTATCCATTTGCTATGATACTCTTGGATATAGTTTATTGGCATTAATGCTGGCTATCTGGGCTCTTAGCTGTTCTTTGATATGTCTGTATCTTGCTTGATAGTCTTCTCTCTGGTATCAGTGATGTTGAGCTTGTGGTTTGTTGTCATTACAAGTCCTCTAAAGAGGAAATTGATCTTTTTAATGCGGAATTCTGTTTTAAGAGAAAGTCAAGCACAGGAAAATGACAGTTTTTTCCCTCCCACCCTTCCTCTTAGGCAGTGCAGATATTTTTTCCTTTATGATGCTGGNTCTCTCTCTCTCTCTCTCTCTCTCTCCTTCCTGTGTCCCTCGTCTCTCTATCTCTTCCCTGGTTATCACTTTTGGTGGTCCCTCTGTCTCTCTTTGTTCTTCTCTTCGTCCATGGCTGACGACTGAAATGATGCTGGGTCCAAGCTGAATTTTTTCGTTCATACAATACAGTATTTTTTTGTAATCTACTAGCTGAGAGATGAAATCGTCTACACTTTCTTCTTGTTTTAGTTTTTTCCCATACTCCACGAAGGACCTTTCCATGGCTTACAAGAAACAAAATTTTTGGCATGATTTTTTTTTTTTTGAAACTACTTATATACTGAAATGAAAATGTAGAACAGGTATGATATATTTTTATTTTTCAACCAGTTACATTCCAATCGTAGCATATATACTGAAATGAAAAAGAATTAGTTGAATCTTTGGACTAGTGCTTCTGCAGTCCCATTTCCATAGTCAGTAGATTACATACATACTAATATGTGTGATAAACGTGTCTCTATCTATTTTTTGCTTACTGAGTAGTGTAAATCTTTTGTATGCATAATTGCTTTTGCTACTGCTTTGTTGCCCATGCAGTCCCACTCGGAGTTTGCTTGTCATTGTGTTCTATCTTTTTTCTTCCTTTTTTTGCAGGATTTTGTTTTTTTGCATGTCATAGACATACAGGATATATGGAGATTGAGAGATATATATTCAGTCTTTGTGACACTAGATGAAAACATTTAAAAAAAAAAAATCCTGCCACTTGGTAGACTAAAAAAAAATGCTCATGAACTTACTATGTTGGATCACACGACTTGACTGAATGCGTATGTTGCANTTCTTGAACTTGTTATTGATATTTCCATTTGGTTAGATACACAAAGGCTTTGGAGGGTATTAAAAAGCTTCACAAGGATCAGGCTCAAGACATAAAGATGTACAAGTTGAAGTTGGAGAATCTACAAACCTTGAAAGATGCTGCATACAAGGTCTTGTCTTTTCCCTTTGGTTTTTAAATGATATAATTATAGCATAGAAAATAATGTTCTCTCTCTCTCTCTTTATTTTAGTTAAACGGAAATTTTTTATAGGTTTTTAAATGGAGCAAAGGTTGGTATGCTATGGATGCCATCAATTGAGTTTCCTCTTGCTGGTTTCTGATGTAGTTAGATCGGATATTAGGGAAACTACATGGGTTTCATGACTGCAAGACTGTTTTCCCAATCATTATCCTAGCCATTTGATTATATCTGTTTGTAAACTTCATGGGTGATTCCTGATTGCAAAATACATCTGATGTCAAAATCCAATATGACAAACCTAGAGGGGGTGAATAGTTCTCTATCACGAATTAAAATTAATCACCCAATAAACAACCAATTTGTAAATATGTGAACAAAATGACAAATCAATCAAGACAAATATCGTAATAGGCAGATAAATCGTATGCAATGACAATAAGATTGCTCAATCACCTGTAATCAATATATCGACCTAGTGTGTTTGGGCTCAATGAGTCAATCATACAGGTAGAAACGCACGATTTTTATGTGGAAATCCAAATAAGAAATGTCATCGGACCTAGTCTAGCCTAAATTCACTAGAACTACTTGATACATTTCAAGATTCAAAAGACTTCTACAAACTCCAAATTCCATGGATTGCCACTTTCTTTTCTTGAACCTGTTGCCAAACTTCACAGCAGTTTTAATGTTGTCCATGAATTGGAATCTACAAGCCCACTGCATGAATGAATCCACATTGGAATGACTTTCTTTCGGTCAACTTTGGGCAGACTAAACTGCTTTTGGTTCTGGACTTTTACTGAACACCTACGGATATGAATTTTTGGGGATTTGCACATTGCACTGCATTTTGTTTCCCTACTCTGATAGAATAAGAGAATATAGAGAAGAGATGAGGGCATAAGAAGGATATGTTCAAAAACTCTCAAAAGAAGGAACTAGTGGGGAAAAACCCTAGAAGACACTAGGGGCCTTGAAAACATTGGGAGAGAGTTGAGAGAAGGAAAGAAATGGGAGAAACCTAGAACCCTCTAGGAGCCTTGCATTCACAAGGAGAAGGAAAGGATAAAGAAAAGTATCCTAATAGATAAGGAAAGAGTAGAGAAGATAGGAGATTGGGAAGGTAAGAGGAGAGACTGGGAGCCAAAGGCTCTATCAAACACTCTCAGATCTCAGAACTTAGGGCTGTGTTTTGTGTATCAGCTTTGAGGCACCTTTATATCATTTCCTAAAAAAACCCTCTTAGACCCCGGGGGTGTGTTTGTTTGGAAGGATAAAGGTTGATATCACAAGTAGGATTGGATAAGAAAAACCGGGGGCCCACATATCCCAGGTTTGGGTTGTCCAAAATGGATAGGATTTTCGTTGGGCTTGAATTAATCGGCCCGTATGAATTTTCCTTGTTCTCCCGCCTGACTAGGATACCTCAAACCCGGCTGAAGTTTGGGATTACTAAGCCCAACTAATGAATAAGGGATAAAATTACTAAAATGCCCAGGAACAGTAAGTAAGGTAGGGTTTTTACCCTTTTTCCCTTTCCCTTTCACCTGATCCCTCAGCTGGTCCCCCACTTTGACAACGGCGCGCATAACTCAGGTAAATCTCTCTCTCTTTCTCTCTCTCTCTCTCTCTCTCTCTCTCTCTCTCTCTCCTTCCTGTGTCCCTCGTCTCTCTATCTCTTCCCTGGTTATCACTTTTGGTGGTCCCTCTGTCTCTCTTTGTTCTTCTCTTCGTCCATGGCTGACGACTGAAATGATGCTGGGTCCAAGCTGAATTTTTTCGTTCATACAATACAGTATTTTTTTGTAATCTACTAGCTGAGAGATGAAATCGTCTACACTTTCTTCTTGTTTTAGTTTTTTCCCATACTCCACGAAGGACCTTTCCATGGCTTACAAGAAACAAAATTTTTGGCATGATTTTTTTTTTTTTGAAACTACTTATATACTGAAATGAAAATGTAGAACAGGTATGATATATTTTTATTTTTCAACCAGTTACATTCCAATCGTAGCATATATACTGAAATGAAAAAGAATTAGTTGAATCTTTGGACTAGTGCTTCTGCAGTCCCATTTCCATAGTCAGTAGATTACATACATACTAATATGTGTGATAAACGTGTCTCTATCTATTTTTTGCTTACTGAGTAGTGTAAATCTTTTGTATGCATAATTGCTTTTGCTACTGCTTTGTTGCCCATGCAGTCCCACTCGGAGTTTGCTTGTCATTGTGTTCTATCTTTTTTCTTCCTTTTTTTGCAGGATTTTGTTTTTTTGCATGTCATAGACATACAGGATATATGGAGATTGAGAGATATATATTCAGTCTTTGTGACACTAGATGAAAACATTTAAAAAAAAAAAATCCTGCCACTTGGTAGACTAAAAAAAAAATGCTCATGAACTTAGTATGTTGGATCACACGACTTGACTGAATGCGTATGTTGCATATAATTTTTCTTATTAACACATGTTTTGTTCTTTTTTACTTGTTTTGAATGAGGTTTTTATATAGCTAGTCCTATAATGCCTTCTTGTATTTTTTCTGGTGCTTGAAATTAATTTTATCGTCTTTTAATTTTTACAAATAAATAACGGCTAATTTCTACTATAGTTTATGTGCATTTGGGTTGTGCCGTAGTTGTTCGTATATTCTGGCATTATTTGTTGGTACTTTGTTAAAATCTTTGACGGATGATATACATTTGTGAGCGACTTATAATTTTGTATTATAAAATCAACGTGTAATAACATGTATTTGGTGAATACATAAGCATTCTTATATTTTTCACATTATTAAATTGGTAATCAACAATGATCAAAAACTAAAAAAATAATTATTTCAAAAGTGGTATCCAACAATTGTCAAGCCAAATATGAGATAGAATTAGATAGAATTCAAGGGTAAAATAGTCAATCAATGTCAAAGGTATTAGATATTTAATAAAAAATTGTAGTTTGTCCATATCTCAACTCATTCTTAATGCACTATCCAAAGCAAGGATTGGATAACACAATTTCCTTTTATCCCCCCATATATCCGGCCTATTGGGATTTCATTGGATTGGTTTGAGTTTTAAATCCAAGCCAATTCAATCCATCCATGATTTGCCAAACACACCCTGGAAGTCTGAGGTATGATTAGGACGAGGCAATACTTTGTCTATGGAAGAAATAATGAGGTGTTGGAGGTTATCAATATGGTGTTTGTTTCATTAATAGAAGATTTTCAAGGGGGATCTGTGCCTTTTGGGAGCTATAATTCATGCANGGGTACGATACGATACGGATACGACGATACGACAAAATCTAAAAAAGTAGGATACGGGTACGGCCAAGATACGACTATAATAAAATATTTTTAATATTTTTATTATTTTCAACCAGCTTAATACTAATATATTTTGATNTCAAGGTGATGCTGATTTAGAGAGTCTAGACGTATATATATAGACTATGATAGAAACCCTAAGGAGAAATAAGCGTCGGGCTTCCAATGGGCTTAAGATTTCTATGTTCAACCTAGAACAAACATCTTACAGTCTATTAATAATAAGTCAGTCCACTAAAAACTTATTATTGATCTCCTGAGGCTTATTTCAAAATTATGTTTCGAGCTCCTTATTATTATATGCTNAATGAGTTTATTGAATTTTCACTTTATTCCTAACTCTATCTTTATCTGTCTATTTTTTTTTCTCTTTGTTCTTTAATATACAAGGTTAATTGGAGTTTCATTAGTTGATTTTCAGAGTGATGAAGATTCTTATTTATTTAGGCACCAATTTTTTTTTTCGTCATTTCATATTTATTTATGTTCACCTCTTGGATAATTGAAAAAGATCCAGAAAAGGAAGAATGAACTAAGGCTGATATTTGACGAGGACCTAAAATGCAATATGAGAATAGCAAAATAAGCTCTCCGTTTTCTGAGTTGATGTTGTTGGAATGGAAATCCCAAGAATCATTGATAGTGCGTATATATCGAATATAAATTTTTTTTCATTAAAACCCTACAAGGTGGACCTAGGGTTTACTTTCAAGATCACTTTGGATTGATCTCGTCTCAGCACAAACATAGATTCTAAAGACAGACGCTGGAAGAATCTCACGATCTTCTATCGTATATCTCCCAACACCAAAATCCGGATGCAGTGTGGACTGCAAGGACCTCCAAACTTCTGTTTTCTATCTCAGCTTCCCTTAAAATGTGAGTAATCAAGGTGATGCTGATTTAGAGAGTCTAGACGTATATATATAGACTATGATAGAAATCCTAAGGAGAAATAAGCGTCGGGCTTCCAATGGGCTTAAGATTTCTATGTTCAACCTAGAACAAACATCTTAAAGTCTATTAATAATAAGTCAGTCCACTAAAAACTTATTATTGATCTCGTGAGGCTTATTTCAAAATTATGTTTCGAGCTCCTTATTATTATATGTTNTTTATTTATGTTCACCTCTTGGATAATTGAAAAAGATCCAGAAAAGGAAGAATGAACTAAGGCTGATATTTGACGAGGACCTAAAATGCAATATGAGAATAGCAAAATAAGCTCTCCGTTTTCTGAGTTGATGTTGTTGGAATGGAAATCCCAAGAATCATTGATAGTGCGTATATATCGAATATAAATTTTTTTTCATTAAAACCCTACAAGGTGGACCTAGGGTTTACTTTCAAGATCACTTTGGATTGATCTCGTCTCAGCACAAACATAGATTCTAAAGACAGACGCTGGAAGAATCTCACGATCTTCTATCGTATATCTCCCAACACCAAAATCCGGATGCAGTGTGGACTGCAAGGACCTCCAAACTTCTGTTTTCTATCTCAGCTTCCCTTAAAATGTGAGTAATCAAGGTGATGCTGATTTAGAGAGTCTAGACGTATATATATAGACTATGATAGAAACCCTAAGGAGAAATAAGCGTCGGGCTTCCAATGGGCTTAAGATTTCTATGTTCAACCTAGAACAAACATCTTACAGTCTATTAATAATAAGTCAGTCCACTAAAAACTTATTATTGATCTCCTGAGGCTTATTTCAAAATTATGTTTCGAGCTCCTTATTATTATATGTTTAATAATCGTTTAACGTTTAAAATTACAGATGTCCATTCATTAAATAAATTATTGATAATTATATTTAATTGGTTTATTTTATTCCTTGAGACCTTACCACTCAACTTATTTGTCATGTCAGATAATTAAATTCACCTGCAAGGTTTGATATGGACAAAACTTCTGAGTTTCTTCAAGAGGACATCATCAACCCATTTAAATATCAGGACGTGGTTTCCTTTAATAATTAATTTTCATCATACAAATAATATCGTCTCACAATTCACTGAACTTATTGACTCTATGAATTTTACACTTTGATGAATTAAAGTGACAATCATTATATGCACGTGATAGTTAAATATCTCGAGATTAAGAGTATAAACAATCATAATAATCATGAGCTATGAAGCACGGATACAGATAAGGAATACGGGTACGATACGATACGGATACGACGATACGACAAAATCTAAAAAAGTAGGATACGAGTACGGCCAAGATACGACTATAATAAAATATTTTTAATATTTTTATTATTTTCAACCAGTTTAATACTTATATATTTTGATAGTTCTTTAATATATAATAAGAAAAATTAGTAATTTTTTTTAGTTTCAAGAAAATATATATCGTATCGCTGTAGTATATTCACAAAGTGAAGTGAGTAATTAAAAGAATCAAAGCTAATATTTACCTAGTATTTAAAAGTAATTTTTGCTAAGATAATAATGTAATAACTTTATTTTATACTCTTTTAACATGTAATTGTAGATAATACTTAAGAAACACTCATGTGCCTTAATAGTAATATGAATTTTTTGTTAATGTATTGTATGATATGTGAATTCGAAAAGAAATGTTAAAAGTTCAACTCAAAAACTATATATATTGGTCGATCACAAAAGTATCCGTGAAGTACATAATATTTAATTATTGTCGGATGCGTAGAAGGTGTATCCGATACGTATCTTCGAGTATTTGACGAATATCGTATCCGATACGGTATTAGATACGAGTACGTCAATCTCAACGAAGTATCCGTATTTCATAGATCATGAGATATTTATTATCTTATTCAATAAGTAAAAGATAATAACCTCAACATGGGTCTGTTCAATATAGGAAGTGTACTAGTGCAATTATCTGAGACATCAAACAGTCTCTTACAGTCAAGTCAGACTATGCTAGAATATTACACTATAATTATACTGATGGTGTATCCAATTCAATCTAAGATTGTGAATCTATATTCATATTATACAAGGATTCGATAATCTGGTCTCCCGTGCATATGTTGAACTCTACACATTAGATTATTTATAATGTAAAATATAAGATATACATGCATACCATATATCAAATATAATGCAAACTTCTATTAATTAATAAAACGAGTTTTACTACAAGAAATAAGTTTTTAGTATATAACCCTATCAGATGCAACGTGCTTTATGATCATAGTATAACTTTCTCTTTCATATCCAATCCATGTCATCACCAGCATCGACATCCACCAAACCACCTCTATCTCATGATTACTATGTCTCAGCCCCCACCTACAATGCCAGAGTTCTATGCCTGACATTGCCACTAACATGTGTGCTGCTATCACAATGAGTAATAAATTGTCATCACTATGACAAAACCCTAGATTCATTGGCATTTCAATTTATTTCCCTCTCTCTCTTTCTCTCTCTTTTCGATCAACAATGTCCATTGGAGTATCATTATTTGACTACAAAGTGACGAAGGTCCTTATTTAGTTTGGTGCCATCAGTTTGCACCACAAANTTTTTTTTTTTGGATAAGTGTATATAACTTCAAATTCATGCCTTTCACTTCTGTTGTTACTGGCTGTGACTAACCATCCAGTCATCCTTCTCTTCTATGCTTCATTCATTTTTGCGCTTGAGCCCATCTTTCTGCTTCGTCAATAATGCACTCTCTCTCTCTCTCTCTTCCCTTTGTTTTTTTTTATGGGGGGGGGGGGAGGGGCTTTACAAGTCGTGATGTACTTGCCTATCATAGGCAGTTGCAATGCTGTCTATGCTGTTCTTTGTTGTAATTTGCAGATAATAACAAGATGTTAATGTATGGTTCCACTTATTTTATTGTGGATAAGGACTTGTGGAAACTATTCTAGCATGGAAGTTTTGATGAGGTAATATACAAAGAATATTTTCTCATTCCTATGGGGTTGTGTTGATACAGCTTCGAGAAAGCATTGCTCAAGATCAGGAGAGAACTGAAACATTAAAAAGTCAAATGGAAGAGCTAGAAAGAAACATTCAAAATGTGGATACTAAAATCCATCACACTGAAGCAACATTAAAGGATTTGCGGAAATTACAGGACCAGATTGCAACCAAGACTGCTGAAAGAAGCACTTTGTTCAAGGAGCAGCAGAAACAGTATGCAGCTCTCTCAGAGGAGAATGAAGGTTAGTCAATAAATTAAAAAAAAGGACGAGATCTTAAATGATTATTATGTTTTCATCTCTTTGCTTGTTCTTTTAAGTGGTTATGGTCTTCTGGTATTGATTCTGCATAGTTTACTTTTATGATATACTATCTACATTCTGTTTTCATTGAAATCCTTGGTGCACCATTTTTTTAATTTTTTTTTGACATTCTTAGTTTGGCAATTTTGAAATTGGGTAGACACTGATGAAGAACTGAAGGAATGGAAAGCCAAATTTGAAGAAAAGATTGCACTTCTGGAATCTAGAATTAGCAAGTTGGAGAGGGAAATGAATGACACAGAGACAAAGGGTTCTTTCCTAAAGCAGACCATTAATGAGAGTATCTGGGAGATCAGCAAGCTTCAAACCGAGGCTGAAGTAATATTTATGAACATATATACATGTTGATTTTTGTATTCCACCCAAATGCTGTGGCATTTGTTACTAATCGACTTCTCTATTTTATGCCCTAGGCTCATATTTCCATGAAGAATGAAAGAGATCTAACAATTCAAAAGCTTTTCGAGAGGCACAATTTAGGGTCTTTTCCAAACTGTCCCTTCAGTAATGAAGTTGTTTTGAACCTTACAAATCGCCTGAAGTCAAGATTGATGGATCTCGACAAAGACTTGCAAGATAAAAAGGTCCTCCTCTCTCTGTTGCTTTCACTAGATATATGTACCTGTTTCACTTGTAAATATTCATTTCCCAGAGCTTATCTTGTATTTTCTTTGTTGCATTTTATTACCCTTGCTGCTTAGACTTGATCATGTACTTAGCATGACTATGTTTCATATTTCATTAGGGCCTTTTATACGAGATCTTTGCTCCTTGTTTTATGAAATGTCTGAAGTTAAATACAATTTGAGTAGTTGTTATCCTGAATTTGCTGGTGGTAATTTTTGGTTGAACCAAATATGGATAGCAAGTGCCATATGGCATGAGAGCTGTTCGGGATCTAGCATTTATACAATGCGAAGTGAATAACAACAAACAAAACATAGACAAAATTACTGGTTGCGTCGCTCGGACTCACCACCCGGCAATATACTTATTAATTAGAACCTGGATAAGTCAGATCGAAATAAATTGAAAAAGAAAAGTGCTCACAAGAGCCAAAAGAGCGAAAGAAATGTGATTAGATTAGCACTNAAGGTAAGGTAAGGTAAGGAATTGACCGTACCCAAAAGCGAGACAGGTGAACGCAAGAATGCACCCTTGTCTAAGGATAAATGACCGGTGTTTCAGGAGAACGTATGCTTCGGATTGAAAAGAAGAAAAGCAAGAATATGGAATAGGTGTAAACTACGTCTTACCCCGGGTCTTTGGTCCAAAGGAGAATAAACCCGAGTAACTGGATGAGGATGTGGAATAAAATGACTCTCCTCCAGTTGCAGAGATTGCAGAGGTTGATTCTGGTCTGGAGCTAACAGACGGATCAGAGGTGAGCAGGGACCCCAATGAGGAGTATACCCTTTCCATAAAAGAAAGACCAACCCAATCATGATCAAATTTCACACTCGACATTCCGCGTTGCTCTTAGAGAAGTAGAGGTGGCAAGGGCTGGAAGAGAATAATCCCCAGAGAGAGCGAGAGCAGAATGTACGGAGCGAGTCAGCTGACAGCTACGGCTAGGAAGCATGCGAGTGAAAGGGCAAGATGAAAGTGATGCGGGCAGGATATGTTTCTGTTCATCAATAACCCCAGAGGGAGAGGGGCGCTCGCTCCGAGTCAGGCTAAGTATCACCTCATTGGTTACAATTTGATCACTTAGTCAAATTTATTTCAGGGTCCCGCCTTCTGGATAGAATCTTTCCCCTCCGGAGACCCCGGGATCAGCAAACAAAACATAGACAGAATTACTGGTCGCTTCGCTCGGGCTCACCACCCGGCAATCTACTTATTAATTAGAACCCGGATAAGTCCGATCGAAATAAATTGAAAAAAAAAAGTGCTCACGGGAGCCAGAAAGAGCGAAAGAAATGTGATTAGATTAGCACTAGGAAAGGTCTCCCTTGATGCTTTGTTAATCCCATGTTAATGCCACAGTTCGTTCATAGAAAGATGAATGCTAAAGATTAGTTAAAGAAGAAGGCGAGCTAGCAGATGAGATAAGCGTAGAAATTCACATCAGTATGGATATAGTTGATCCTTATAAAAGAAAAGAGGTTCTCTCTCTCTTGGTTAAGCCATTTTTACTGGCTCAAGCCCAATGGGAACAATCACAAAAAACTTGATTGTTCCTGCTTAAACCTATTCTCTGGGCATACATTGAAACCTAGTCAATCCAAACCTAATCTCGTTTTGATTCTAATGCTTGAGCTCTTTGGCAAACTAAAATCAATGTTTTAAGATCTGAAGACAGCACCACCTACAAAATTTGTTCAAAGAGTTTATTTGACTTTTACCTCTGATTGATTCAAAATGAAGTTCGGACCGATTTATGAACTTTCATGGGATTCCTAGAACTTGGTTAAGGATCCTTGAACCTTCTGTTTTTCAAGGTTTGCTCCTAATGAATGATATTCAGTCTGAATATATTTATACATGCTGGTCAGCAAGGTTTTTTGTGTCTGACAATCTGTGGGCTTCTCTTCCGTTTTGGATATCCTCGAGAATATTTTTTTTGGCTTCAAGGACATATTTTTTTTGATAGGAAACAGTGAATTTTAGTAATAAACAAACTCTAAGAAAAGTTGCAAACCCTATCAAAGGTGGACAAGTCATCCGATCCAATAATAGGTGAAAACAAACGACATACATGCATGAGAATGGAAATTGACCATACTACACTCCACATGAAGCTGTCCAACTTGCAGTACTACAAAAAAGAGGAACATTTGCAAACTCCTTAGACGTCGATGACCAAAAGGAAGCCAAGAAAGAAAGACATGAACTTTTCAAGGTTTATGGAGTTCATATGGTTTTGAGCAAAATTTTAAGAAAAAAGTATATACAATCTGCAAATATATTTTCCTCCCATTGTTAACAAATATCTTCCGTTTTTGCCTTCTTTTTCCGAAGATAGATGGTTGGGAAGAGAGAATCCAGAAAACAACTTCCGCGCTTTCAGAAAACATTTGTTTCCGACAATGCTCAGTGACAGTATCAGAAATACTGCAGTCAATTAGATGTTGTAAACGATTTTTAGCACTAAGATTTCAAGTTGGAAATGTGAAGTGATTTTTGGATGAATAAAATAAAAAGTTTAGACATTAAAGTATTGCATATCCAAAGGTTCATTGCTATACTAAGGGCACCATAAATGTGATGGTGATGCATTATTAGTGGTTAAATTTGCAGTGGGATGTTTGCAGACAGCTCAAGGTTTGCTAATGTAAGGCGTCAATGGATTAGCTTGTTTAGTTTCTATTTCCTTCTTCTTCTTCTTGGATGTAGCAAAACTTTGGCAAAATAAATACTATCCCCTTTAATTAAGGGTGTGAAGAAAACAATTAGGTGAAAGAGGGATAAGAGGAGAAATGATGCCCCATGAATCAAGTGTGGTAATACTTCTTAATCTATTCTAAAGAAAGTCTTAGGCGTCACACAACTCACACCTAGGCTTGTAGGCATCAAACCTATGATAAAAAAAGGAACATTGGGTTCAAAGGCTTAAGAGGATGCCTAGGCACATGTGTCACATCTGGGCTCGTAGCTATGACTGCTTTTCTTTTAAATATTGTCAAAACCTTTATGGTGAGTATGTATATAGATTCCTTTAATCTAGCTACTAGAGGATTCATAGCAATATTCCTAACAAAGATACCTCATAGCCAAACACTGAAAGTGTGCTATTTCAAGCATGTGGCTTTGTAATGATAGTGTCCTTTTGTAGCAGATGCACCATTTGTTCAGCTGTGCATTCCCTCTATAAATTCTGTTGTGATCCTCTGCTCCAGCAAGATAGGTTACCAAAAAGAAATTGTGTGTTTGGGTGGGGTAATTTCAGGTAAAACAAAGTTGGCATTTAGGGTTTCTGGTGTCTAGTCCACTGAAAATGCCTTCGCTCTTCTCCTGTGTTACTGAGCACTGATCATCTTTCTAACCATGATTATCCTGATGCTTGCACCTTGTGGAATGATTTTACTTTTATGTCCAACTTATCCACCAGTGTTTATTAGAGAGAGTCCACTAGTGTCTACTAGAGAGAGTGCGAGGAAAAGTATCCGCAATATTATTCTAACAGGTTCATTAGAAAATGCTGCAGTCAGCTTGTTCTATCTTTATCTTGACTAAGTTCTCAAAATATATACCCCCTCTTGATTGAATTGATTTGCTATTAATAACTTGTTTTTAATCTGCGAGGAAAGGATTTTGTAACTAGTTAGTTTAACTTTCTCTATTTGTTTGGACAAAGATGGTTTTTTTCTCCTAGTGTCTTCTGAGTTTATCTAAAACTGAGTACAATCTGATTTTTCTTCACCTTGTGAAGTTTCATTGCATCGTTCACTTGATACTCTGTTATCGTATATTTGCATATTGGGTTTTATAAGCACAATATCTTTTGGGGTTGAAGATTGACTGGGAAATTCTATTTTAGAAATCAAATGAGATAGAACTTAAGGTGGCATGGGATTGCTACATGGGTGCAAATGACCGATGGAAAGATATTGAGGCTCAAAAACAGGCTAAAGTAGAGATCAAGGTTTGTCTTTGATGATATATATTATGTATCTTTTCTTGTGCAAATTCTTTCATGGTATATGTAGGATTTTCTAATCGGTGATTCGATGCAGAGTGGAATTTTGAAACGTATAGAAGAGAAGGAAATTGAGCGTGATTCATTTGAGCTTCAAATTTCTAATGTTAATCTTGCTCACATTGACGAGAGAGAAAAAAACATGGTATTGATGGCCCTTCTCAATTGTCTTTCCGAAAATTACTCTAGTGCTCTTGACTGACAATATTGTAGAGGTTAATGTTGATTTTCATCCTTGTAGCGTATTGAGGTCGAGAGAAAGACTAACCAACTGGCTGAAAGAGAATTCGAATCTAATATACGCCAAAAACAGAGTGAAGTATATACCATAGAGCAAAAAATTAAATCTCTTAATCGCGAGAAAGACATCATGGCTGCTGATTCTGAGGACAGAGTGAAACTCTCTCTAAAGAAATCAGAGTTGGAGAACCACAAAAAGAAACACAAAAAGATGCAAGTCGAAGCTTTCTTTCTTTCTTTCCATTTTTAGAGCGTCTGATTTCCTTTTTGTGTTTTATTGTGTCTAATATTCTTTTTTGTGAAGATAATTTTTTTTTAATCCCAGAATTGATGAATACAAGGATAGAATTAGAGGAGTGTTAAAAGGAAGGCTGCCCCCTGACAAGGATTTGAAAAAAGAAATTGCTCAAGCCCTAAGGTTGTTTTCCCTATTTATTCCTTTCTTCGTTAACTTTGATTTTTGTGAACCTCTTTGTAGAAATTGTGTTGTGTTACATTTTATCATCTGTGTGCTCTCTAGTTTATACTTTTTCAAGTTACGTACGTAAGCTGACCGTGTGATAATAATATTAATTCTAATGTTTTGTTGATTTCCGCTGTGAGTGGATTCATTTCTGTGGATGATCTGTTTTAGGGACTTGTTTATTTTGAGGTTTATAAATTTTAGGTACTTAAAAGTTCTATTGGTCAACAATTTTCTTATATCTCACCAGCATATCATCTGAAGGTTGAAAAGTTATTGGGCGAGGAAATCCTTCCCTTGGGAAATAAGTTGATAATACTCTAGCTGCTAGTTATATGATTTTGTTCAGTAAAGTTAAAAGAGTATTTATGTTACCAAGTTCAGGGGCTTATGCATTTGGTTTGTTTGGACATGAGTTTAAGAATATATCAAGAAGTCTTATGCAAATTCATTATTTTTAAACACATCTTCCATACGTTTTAAATAAAACTTTCTTTTAGACATGTATGATGTGAACTGTGTGTTGTGGCATGGTACACTTGGATTGATTTTTAGCCAAAATCAAGGATTTAAATTGGATAAGTGGTGGAATTAGAAAATATAAAATGAGAAATGAATCCAGCAGTTTTATTTTAGAAATGGTGGTAAAGAAGAGAAGATAAAAAAAAAATAAAAAATTGAGTTAAGATGCTTTGATCATGTGTAACGCAGACCAATTAGTGCTGATTGACATGATAAGTGATTATGTCCAAGGGTGAGCAATCAGGACATGAAGCGGATCAATAGGAATGTGAGAGTGATGTTGTGAAGGACTTGATTGCCATCTGCTTTACTGAGGATAGGGGTCCATGTAGAGTATAGTGGCTTGTACTATTGCAGAGGTAATAGTCGATATGAAGCCTTTGTTGATTCAAGTTGAGTTCTGGCAGTTTTGTGTAATTTAATCTTAATTACTAGCAATACTTAGGATTGATTTCTTGTCTAATTACTAGCAATAATGGGAAAAATGAACACAAAGGGTTCTTGGAGTGTGCATCATGTAGAGTATTGAGGTAAATTGACTATGATTATGAGCATTAGGTACACAATTAACCCCCCAGACTCCCCCCCCCACCCCCCAAAAAAAACAAAAAACTTTAGCAAGTCTCTTGGATATGATTTGGAAATGTTACTTAGATCGTGGATCGCTTTGGTACGTGATTCGGTACGCGGTACAACACTTTCTTAGGTACACGGTATGATGGAGATAAGTTGAGCTGGTATGGTATTTTGGGTTGCAATTCATTTTGGAACTTTTATCTAGATTGGTTTCACCACTGTACAACATTATATATCATAGAATATCCATAAACAGTAAGTCAGTTACTATTTATCTTATATTTGTGTTTGATTTTCTATTATCTAAAACAATATATAATAATAAATTTTATATACACCTAGTTAATTAATTTGGGATCGTAGATCTTGGTGATCTAGATCTTGGGTTGTCAAGGATTTAGTGAATTCTGGTGATTATGATGTTTATAGTGCTGCTTTCTTTAGATCTAGTAAAACGGTAAGGATATGCCAAAGCCATGTGCTATGGCTCAATCTGTAAAAGCCATCCTGTTTCCAATCATGGAAATTGATAAATGATTCTGCTTTTGTGTATGATTCTTGGGTAAAGTGCACAAAAGTTTGCTAATAATGTCTTGATCACCTTTAAGCGGTGCCTGGTAAACAAATGCTCTGCCTTCTGTCCAGCTAATTCCACCTGGCTCATACGCTAGCACATGATGAGGACTAGGCCAGTTGGACTCTCCCAGTACTTCGTCACTGAATAGCTGTCTATTTCTGACTTTATACTCTGTGTCGGAATTTTGCAAATCACAAGCCTTTGTGTAATATCAGGGTTTCTAGTACTTGAATTATATCATGACCTTTTCTCGACATGGAGAATATTGGATTATGCTCTCAGTTTTATGATTGGTCTTATTATACTGATGATACACGTCTCAAAGAGCATGGGCATATTCGTAAAATGATATAGTTAAGCTAGCGGTCAGTTTCAATCTGATCTCTCAGTTTTGGCTGGCTTCAGTTATGTATTCAATGGCTAGATTGGATGCAATTTTCAGGTTTGAAGACCATTTGTGTGGTTTTATTTTGATGAGAAATAAAGACATTCATTTCATTGGAAGTTGAGGATGTACAAAATGGAGGATAAGATATCCAATAATCACAAAATACTGTTAATGTTGGAGATGAATAATTCTGAACCAATCATAACCTGGCAGATATCTAGTTTGCTTTGGCGTTTCTGTTGATTTTTATTCTGTCCTTGTACTTGTGTTGTTAGGGTTCATAGCAGATAACATGAGTGATATTCAATAAAAAGTTTGTTGTTGTTCTTTGTGTTGGGTTCGTAAGGTTCATTTACACTCACTTTGTTTGCCTTATGATTATTTACCTGTGAAAAGGTCATTCCTAGTGCAGGACTCTTGGAACAGAATTTGATGACCTGGACTCAAAATCCCGTGAAGCTGAGAAGGAGGTGAATATGTTGCAGATGAAAATACAAGAAGTCAATTATAACCTTGCCAAACTTAACAAGGATATGGACTGTAAGCCTCATGCCATGACTTGAGTAAATTTGATGGGTAGTTCTCTTCTATTTTGGTTACTAGTTTTCTTCTTGTACTCTTCAACTTTTGTTATGATAGAAAATCTGTGTTGAAGGAATATAATACCAAATACAACATTAAAAATATGTATGTGTGACATGAGGATAAATAGGTATCATGCTCATAGTGTAAAGGTCCATTGAGAGATGACCTTATGTGCCAAACCTTAATATATTTGACGCTTTAACTACTCTTCTTTCCCACATGTGAAAAAACTGATGAATAAACAAATGCCATGANTTAAAAATATGTATGTGTGACATGAGGATAAATAGGTATCATGCTCATAGTGTAAACGTCCATTGAGAGATGACCTTATGTGCCAAACCTTAATATATTTGATGCTTTAACTACTCTTCTTTCCCACATGTGAAAAAACTGATGAATAAACAAATGCCATTATCTGTAATGCAAACATTGTTACTACTAAACCATGAAGCCAGGAATCCTGGAATCAGCATAGTGAAAACTCAGCAAGACCATAAACCTTAACTAGAATATGATTCAAAACTAGTACAGGGAAATTTTTAGATACGAACTTGAGAGTGGTAACAATTTGTTGATATTATTTTTCATTTGAATAATATTCCCTCCTACTCTTGCCTTCTTGAGACTATTGCATTCTGTAATTGATGGCCCTGTGGGCATCTATTATTCTTCTGATTCTAATGCAGCAAGAAAGAGATTTATTGAATCAAAACTCCAGTCTTTGGACCAGTCTGCTGGTATTGACTTATATCTTAAAGTCTTGGATTCGGCCAAAGAGAAAAGAGATGTTCAGAAAAGGTTGCTCCTTTTTCTTTTCTCTTTTTCCCCTTGTTCAACAGACAACCTAGATGCACTCATATGATCTTCTGTACGTATATTGAGATATTCATACCATGTCTTTTTTTATTGCGAAGGTATTCATTTCTTTTTGTTGTCAAATATTGCATGCAGCAAATACAACATTGCCGATGGTATGCGGCAGATGTTTGATCCTTTTGAAAGAGTTGCCCGTGCTCATCATATTTGTCCTTGCTGTGAGCGGCCCTTCTCTGCTCAGGAGGAAGATGAATTTGTTAAAAAGGTTGATATGTTTTGTCATTTTTTGTCTTAGTTAATGAAGTATTATCTACTGAAATTTAGGTTTTACTTTAATGTTTCTATTCTCTTGTTATACATTATAGCAAAGAGTGAAAGCTGCTAGTTCTGCTGAGCATATGAAATTATTGGCTGTGGATTCTTCATCGGCTGATTCCCACTTCCAGCAATTAGACAAGCTTCGTATGGTCTATGAAGAACATACAAAAATTATCAAGGAAGCAATTCCTCTTGCGGAGAAAAATCTGAATGAGCTCAAGGAGGAATTGGATAAAAAAACGCAAGCTCTAGACGATGTAATTATCAACTGCTGTATGTTTTACTTTTTAGAAGTTGTGGTATAGACTGTATAGTGCAGTAAAATTGCTCTGTTGAAGCTTTTATCTGCCGATATTCCTTTGATTATGGTTATGAAAGTTTTTGTTGCTGTCTGTTTACTGGAATTCCCTCACCTGTTAGGTTTTTTAAACGCCAATGTGTGCCTAATGAAAATGGTTTTGATACGCATGCTTGGAAGCCTTTTCACCAGGGTTATTTTGACTTCTCCCTTCCATGTGCATACATTTTTGGTGGTGAACTGTTGCAAAATTTTTGTTGAGGGGACAGCTATTATTGCTTTTGTAATACTTCCTATTCTTGAAATTGTAATATCTTTTGAAAGCTTGGTGATGGTGAAATTGAGGAACTAGGATCTAATTTTTTTTCTCCTTGATCAGAATAAAAATGTTTGAATTTGAATAGTTAGGGTTCTTCACATCAAAATGTTTCTGACGCATTACTTTAAGAGAAGGCAGTCCATCTTTTTTTTTCGCTAAGTGAGATCGATTTTGAGGGGCAAAGACTCCTCCAAGGTAAAAGGCTCTGGCTTATGCAGTGGTTCATAATGGGGTTAAACTAGGGTTGAGGCAAGGATCAAATCTTCATTTTGGTGCATATTTTTAAGCTTGGAAATGGAAACTTTTGAAAAGTGAAATAGAGAAGAAAATTTGGAATTTGATTCCGAAACATTGACCAAAATATTCTGAAACATGGCAATTTTGATTTTTCATCACTAATTCTTTTTGGTTTCCATCAAAACCGAAACATTTCGGTGGAAATGAAACAAAAATTTGATCCTCAGGTCGAGGATGATTTTCCAAGCTTGAAGGCTTCATATACTCTTGCCCCATAAAGTTCCTCCATTTATAAAAGCAACAACTACTAGAATTTTGGTCACTTTATATATTATGATATCTTTTCCATTTTTTTTACTATAATTTGGAGGTTTTGCTAAGTGTGAGAGAGCCAAGATTTTATGGGATTGTTGTGCTTTATTGACGATAATTCGCGATATACTTATTCAAGGGAGTACAAAATCCTGTTGAGCAGCATTTCCCTAAAGGTGAGCTGCAAAGTGAAGTCCGTTATATCTAGTCCTTGGACCTGCGTTAGATAACAGGGATTTCCAAGTTGTTTGGTGGTGATTCTTCCTGGTTCTATTCTAAAGAAATCCATGAGTTTGGAGGCCTCGGCAATGGGGGGCTATTAAATTTCACATTGATGATCATCTTCTTAGAAATCGAGGGTAGCTTACTCCTATTTGTGTTTTTAATCAATTCTAACCAATAATTCTACTTCTTAGTACTTTGTTTTGCAAAGCATGTACTCCTTTGTTGCTTTTTATATTGGGTTATCATTTAATGAACCTGATGTCATGTATCAGAGTGTATTTACAGATGAAGGAATTATGGTCATTTGAATATGGGATTATTTTTTATGTTTTGATCTTCTGGTCTTTTAAAAATGAAGTTAAGGTCAGAGCTCATCAAGCAATTTGCAAAATAATTTTCTTCTCCCTCCTATCTTCTTTACTTTCTTTCTTTTCATTACTTCTCATATGTTTCATGACTCGTAAAGAACATGATGTATTGGGTTGGGATTTTATGCACTTGCCAATATTTGCTTACGGTGTTCCATTTAAACTTTTATTTTGTGTGGTTCTTCTTAAATATGAACTATTAAAAAAATAATGTTTCTTGCAGGTGTTGGGTGTTTTAGCTCAAATAAAGGCTGATAAGGACTTGGTTGAGGCCTTGGTACAACCTGTAGAAACTGTGGACAGGCTCTTCCAAGAAATACAAGCTCTGCAAAAGCAAGTTGATGATTTGGAGTATAAGCTTGATTTTCGAGGGCAAGGTGTCAAATCAATGGATGAAATTCAGTTGGAGCTAAATGCTTTGCAGACCACAAAGTATGTTTTATTCACCATCTGCTGGTTATTTTGAAGTATATTTTTTGTTTCTCTATTGCTCATNAGGGCAAGGTGTCAAATCAATGGATGAAATTCAGTTGGAGCTAAATGCTTTGCAGAGCACAAAGTATGTTTTATTCACCATCTGCTGGTTATTTTGAAGTATATTTTTTGTTTCTCTATTGCTCATATTATTAGAGATGATTGAGGTTGATCATTTTGCAAACTCTTTATGATTTGAAATATTTAAGTTTGTATGTATATGAATCCGCAATTACTTGTTTACCTTTTGGAGTTTATTCTGCAGCATCTGATAATTTTTTTTCTTGTATGGTTCTTCTGTCTTGTTTTCTCATTTTTTCTCCTGGCATCCAGGGATAGTTTGCATAATGATCTAGAGAAATTAAGAGATGAACAGAGGTACATGGAAAATGATCTGTCAAATATTCAGATAAGGTGGCATACTCTAAGAGAGGAAAAGGTGAAAGCAGCTAATACATTGCGTGATGTTAAGAAAGCAGAGGAGGAGTTAGATCGTTTGGCAGAGGAAAAAAGTCAGCTTGAGCTTGATGAGAAGGTAACTGGTTCTGAGGAAAATTTTCTGTTGACTTTGTAGTTTGTAGTGACCTGACAATGTCCATGTAAATTTTATACGTTACAGTCAACTGCACGAGTAATATAATGACTAGTAGTGGATTCCCTGTATGTCACCTTGTGTACAGTCTTCTGATTGATTACCTATGCACCCTACGGTTCCTACCCAAAATATTTGTATCTATAGCATCAAGTGTAATACTTAAGTATATACAAATTTGCACATGATACTGTGCTGCTTCTACAAGCATTTCTATAGGCCACTGTATAGTTTTGTCGCATCAGATCTGACTCATGACTCTATGGAAGACCGGCCTTTTAGCTGTGCTGGTCAATCAAAGTCACATTGGGCTGCAGGATTTCTTGCTGCAACTACAGGATCAGATTAGTTGTAATGGACAGTTTTTTTTTAATATGTTTTTTGCAAGGAGACATCTCACATTGTGTGACAACAAAATGACAACAGAGTACACCTATGCAATAGTTTGCCATGAAGGATGAACCTTGTATATGTGTTTGGCTGGCTGTTCAACAACCTCATTAGGTTCAAATTACAGAAGATTGAACTTGTTGCACTATTCAATAGTTTATGTTGTACTTTTTTTTGAAGGGGGGGGGGGGTTCTGATTTTCACCTTCAAGACATCGAGTAAACTCAGGATTAGGCTACCAGTAAAAATGACACTGAAGGCTGGAGATGGTAATATTGCCAAAGGTTAATTATGTACCCAATCCACCCTTCTTGCCACCCTGAATTAATTAGGACCAAACTAGATAATTACCTTTCAGTTATCAGAGGGTAATAATGGTTAGGTTCATTCTTATCATTTGTGCACTCTTACTCTGTTGGCTCCTTACAGCCTACAGGTGTTCTATACTAGAACTAACATGGTGCAGCAGCCTTTAACAACTATGATTTGCAAATGTTATATATTTTGGCAGAAATTGGAATTAGGATTTATTTTCGAATTTGGAAACTTTTAGTTCCTTGCATCCTTTCATTCTTGATACCTAATGTTTCTTATTTTGGTACCTTTTTTTATCATTATTTTCAGTTTTAACAGCTAATTCCACCTGTAGATTTTCCTCATGCAATGACCATACCTGCTGAATTATCCACTGGATTTTTGCAAATCACAGTAAGTTGGCAGTATTTCTGGGAAAAATATGGTCAAGTCTTATATGGTAGCCCAATATGAAAAAGATTTAAACGGTACATAACCGAACTAAGAAGTTGAGGCAGGTTAGAAGACGTAAAGATGTTTGGTCTCTATAAAAAAAGCACCAAAGTAGTTAATAATTAACAAAAAAGCTGTGAGACAGGATGTGTCCCTTGTCACGTTGTATTTGTATAGCAGTACGAGGTGGTGATGTAAACTTTTATCTAAAAATGATATGTGTGTCCAGCCTTATTTTAAGTTGAGGTTCTTCAATCCTGGAGCCCTTATTATTATTTGAGCTTGAGTTGTTGAGAAAATGCCAGAAAGAAGAATGTCCATAAAAAACACCATATGAGTTCATGAAAACATGAGCTGTATTGGATTGTTATTTGATGGGTTATGTAGAGGGGTAAAGATAAGGAGCAAAAATGCAAAGGTTCAATTGAACTTACAGAAATACTAATTGAGATGAATATCTCTTAAGTTAAAACCCAGAAGTCGTACACAAAGTGTGCAGATGACAAACGTGTGGTGTGTAAAGTACAGGCTGACAAGAATTTAAACAACAGCAATCCATTATGTCATCGAATAACGATGTCTCATAATCTAATTGAGCANTACACAAAGTGTGCAGATGACAAACGTGTGGTGTGTAAAGTACAGGCTGACAAGAAATTAAACAACAGCAATCCATTATGTCATCGAATAACGATGTCTCATAATCTAATTGAGCAACGATGTCTCATAATCTAATTGAGCACTGAACCAATATGTGTTTATATACATGTTATTGTCTCTGTGTCTGAATTCCAAACCTTTGCTTATGTATAATATAGCCTATCTTTTCCTAATCATCTATCTATACGCGAGTATAATATTCGTATATTAGCTGTTTATAAATAGAATTTATAGACAGATAAAATAAAGATTTAAAGAATGGAACTCAACTTCCTCAGAGACATATAATTGATGTCTAACTCCTGCTTTCAATGTTATTTCTGGTTTCCAAGAAGAGGATGTGGAGTTCCATTCTTTAAATCTTTGGAGTTGGGTGGGTGTTGCCATAAACATCTGCTTCACTTTTGGTTTGTGGACTAATGCCTGTAACAAGTGGAATGCAGTTGGTGGAATCAAGTGCCACATGATATTTTCTGGGCTCTTTGCAAGGATATGCAGATGCCTTCTTGGAAACAGATATATTTTAAGAAACTTGTTTGAAGGTTTTACAAGGATGTTGGTATTGGGCCTCTTATATTTTGTTCCTCTTAAAAAGAAGAAAAAAATGTGGCAAACTAGATGTTCCACTAGACATTTTTGTTCAGGAATAACAAATTTGTTAAGTTTATTTTATTTTATTTATGTTGGGTGTTTCTATATGTATATGTCAGTATTTATTCTAATTACTAATATTAAATGGATTTATTAAGAAATTCATATTATTGATGTAGTGTAGGTTTTAATTTATTGGCAATGGTTTCCAGTTGCTTTTCATAGTGTTTTAATTATTATATAGTCAACTACTGTAAATTCTTAATGCTAGAAAACAACTAATAGTTCATAACTAAAAACGACGTGTTACTTTCATATGCGAGTATCACGGACATGCCTATATATTTATTGGGCCAGGGCCATCGAATATCTTGGTAAGATACAGATGCCACTTTGACAAGTCTGAATATATCGGTACTCCTATCTCAAAAAATATATTGTGAAATTTGATATTTTATGTTCAATTTCATGAATGTTTTGTTGTGTAAAAGAGTGTTATGAATTGTCCACCGACATTGAATAGATACTTTCACTGTCAAGCATGTCGTAAATATCATGAACTAATAACATTAAGAATACTGGCATGACATCGATGGATAATTTAATGTCTGATAGATGTTATGATATTTGAATCATTGCTAAATATACCCGCTGGCTGCTCTTGCCAGTTTGTGAATTGAGTGTCTCCACATAAACGATACGAGTGACTTGTAGACACTGTATTTCTAGTTTTGTAAAAACAATATTCTCTGATCTTCTTAAATTTGTATGTTAATAATTGTTGTGTTAGAAATCTCACGGAAAATAATATTTTTGTGTTCTCAATGCTGTTGTAAGGGCTATTAAGAAAGTTTTGATGTATAGCTCTTTTTCTTTGTCCAGCCTCTATTTAGGACTTGTTCAACCTCCTTAAGTCTATTTTGTGCTGGTTATGGTGAAAGTACGTTATCAAAGGAGAATGATTCTGAATAATTTCAGCATTTGGCCGAGGCTCTTGGACCTTTATCAAAGGAGAAAGAGAAATTGCTAAGTGATCATGATGATTTGAAAGTCAAACTTAATCGCGATTACGAGGAGCAGGTTGAATTAAAAAGAAACTATCAACAGGAAGTTGAGGCGCTCCTTAAAGTAACTTCTAAAGTTAAAGAGTATGTTATGTGGACCTTAAGAGTGTTATAGATGATCATATCTTATTGATCTTGACAATTAGTTCTCTCTTACCAGGTATTATGATTTGAAAAAAGGAGAGAGGTTAAAGGAACTGCAAGAAAAGCAAACTCTATCAGAATCTCAGCTGCAAATTTGTGATACTAGGAAGCAGGAAATTTTGGCTGAACTGAGCAAAAGTAAAGATATGATGCGGAACCAAGATCAAGTAAGACGCAACATTGAGGACAACTTGAATTTCAGGAAAACAAAGGCTGAAGTAGATGAGCTTACCCATGAGATCGAATTGCTGGAAGACAGAATACTGAAGATTGGTGGGGTTTCCACCTTTGAGGCTGATCTCGTAAAGATCGCGCAAGAAAGAGAGAGACTTCTTTCAGAGGTACGAACGATAATTATGGACCTCTTAGGTTGCTTGAAGTTTTGATAGTGTGTTGAGAATTCTTTAGTTTGTCATCTTAACAATGACATCCCAGATAGATTTTTTTTCTTCCTTCAAATCAAAAGTTAAGCAGTTAGTCAACATGGTGTTAACTTTATTGGTGAGGGGCAGCTGCAATTCATGTTGTTAAGCGATCATCTCATCTAAAAGCCTTAGCTATTAGAGAGGGTGTAAACATATATATTCTTTAATACATCCACTCATGTACGGCTAGATATTTGGCCAAGCACGTGCAAGTATGATAATTATCAGGTTCGCAGTGAGAACATCGGACCTCTTGCTTTGATGCCATGTCCGTCTATGTCTCTACCTTTTTGTGGGCATACACACAGTACTTCTTTTGTGCATATTGGCAGCCCATTGTTGGTTCTAGAATTGCTTGGACTTATAATTTTGGATGATGTCTATTTTTCTTTCTTATTTCACCCACAATCACTCTATCATCAGTATGTATCTACTTTCTTCCCTAATTTTGATGAAGCTTGTGGCTAAAAAAAGGCAAGGAGTTCCAAGTCTAGATTTAGGTTTACACACAATGCCATATATTTATGTTTTAGTCAATCTAGAAGGTTAAAGCAATTGAATTTTACCTTGATTTGAACACATTGAAGGTCAATTCAGAGAGATTGTCATGCTGTGTCTGTATAGGACATTTTTCAGAAGCCCCCCCCCCCTCTCTCCCCCCACCAAAAAGGCTGCCTATGACTCTCTTTTTGCCCTTTCCATAACCCAAAAAATAAAAAACTATAACTTTGGGCACGTGTCTGACACACTTTGTCGACATGTCCAACACTTCTTAGCTTCATGTCTATGACTGAAAACTAAACATGTGGTCAACACTTCTTGGACACTTTCTAACATACAATTAACAAACCATGGAAATTTGTTCTATGATTATCCTATAACATGAAGAAGTATATAACAATGAAGACTAATCTTATTATAGTTTTGCTTAAATTTAGTGAGAAAAGAAATAGGTGCACCACAATTTTACTAAAGAGGGGAGATTAAGAAGATGAAAGGAGTTATTATTATTATGTATACTTACTACATTTTATCTACAAGAGATGGGTGATAATTGTCTACTATAAGGCTATGTTAGAGTACTAGGTATGATACTTGCTTAATTATATGCATTTGTAGTGGGGCCACTTAAAATTTGACGTCTATTTGTAGCGTGTCCTAACCGTGTTCATGTCCTATATTTTATAATTTTCCATGTCATTTTGTCTGCATCCTGTTTCTTCCTTATCCTTGTTCATGCCCGTGTGTAGTAAATATGAGACGCCACTATATCGCGTTTGCATTTATGGCTGCAAATTTCTGTCATGAATGTAGTGATTCCCCTTATCTGCTTGTTTTGATCTATAACATCATTAGATAATTTTGGTTCTCCATATTTTGACTGGTTATTAAATAGTCTAAGGCATGATCCTGTCCAACAGGTCAAACACTGTTCCTGTCAAATTAGGGAAGTATTCATGTTTCCTGGTTGTAGAGCTTGCATTCCTTGCTCTATAAATAGTTCCATTTATGAACCTTAAATTATTCTTTTGATGATAATATTTTTTTTGTATACTTAACCGGTTACCCCTTCATCAGGTGAGAAAAATTCATCTTTTGTGTTTTTAGGAACTTTGGTTTATGCTTAATCTTCTTAATTCTTATGGTTTCTTTCTCAAAGCTCATCTCCACCAGTGAAATTAGTGTAATGTTTGTGAAAATATTGACTATTAGTAGATTAATAGACCACTTCAGAATGGCTTATACATCACATATCCTGGATCAAGTACTAACTCTGAAAATCGTTTTCAGTAAGTTACTGCTACATCCATTTCATTAGGAATTGATGATCTTTTAACAATACCTTCTAAGGGATGGCTAGTTCAAGATGCTGAACAACAAAGTTTAATTTTGGAAAAACACCATCATTATGGGAATGTACAAGCGGTAGAAAAATTACATCAATCCATTGAGATATGGTATGCTACAAGGGAATATTTGTGACAAGAAATGAATCCTAATTTTAGGATGACTGACTCTTTTAATCCAGTCCATATAATGTCTTTTTCAGGAGCTAGAGGAAATGGTGCACAATGAATGATATTTAGCATCTTCCTGAAAATTTTGTTTCTTCCTAGAATATTATGTCTTAAATAGTTTCCAATTGATCATTCCATTTGTATCTTTTAAAATTGTCCAATTGTTGTACATAAATATTTCTCTGTTTTGGTGGCTTTCGNTTCCTAGAATATTATGTCTTAAATAGTTTCCAATTGATCATTCCATTTGTATCTTTAAAATTGTCCAATTGTTGTACATAAATATTTCTCTGTTTTGGTGGCTTTTGTACTTATAACATTCTACTTAGTTAATCCTTTTTTTTTGTTTGGTGTCAAATTCTGGTCCATTGACCTATCTTATTATGAGAAATGGAAAGGTGATTTTCTTTTTCTTTTTGGCAGTTAAACAGGTACCATGGGACAATGTCTGTATATCAGAGCAATATTACAAAAAATAAGATTGATCTTAAACAGGCGCAGTACAAAGACATTGACAAACGATATTTTGATCAGCTAATCCAGCTCAAGGTGAAACAGAAGTAACTGCTTAACTATTTACTCAGTTTGAAGTTTCTAATCATATGATTAACCTAATACTTTTGTGACAGACAACTGAGATGGCAAACAAGGACCTAGACAGATATTACAATGCACTTGACAAGTGAGCTTTTCAACAAGTTTGACATTTCATTTCTTTTAGTATTGCATTTTTTTTACCTAATTCATTTAGGGGGATACATTCTTCATTTATTTGCTTAATTTTGAATTATTTAAGAATATATATGTATATTTGTATACGTATTTTATGCGCCTAACAAAACAATTAGTATTTTCAGTAGTTTCTTAAGATGTAAAGTTGTAATAATAAATGATTTATTNTATAATGTCTTTTTCAGGAGCTAGAGGAAATGGTGCACAATGAATGATATTTAGCATCTTCCTGAAAATTTTGTTTCTTCCTAGAATATTATGTCTTAAATAGTTTCCAATTGATCATTCCATTTGTATCTTTAAAATTGTCCAATTGTTGTACATAAATATTTCTCTGTTTTGGTGGCTTTTGTACTTATAACATTCTACTTAGTTAATCCTTTTTTTTTGTTTGGTGTCAAATTCTGGTCCATTGACCTATCTTATTATGAGAAATGGAAAGGTGATTTTCTTTTTCTTTTTGGCAGTTAAACAGGTACCATGGGACAATGTCTGTATATCAGAGCAATATTACAAAAAATAAGATTGATCTTAAACAGGCGCAGTACAAAGACATTGACAAACGATATTTTGATCAGCTAATCCAGCTCAAGGTGAAACAGAAGTAACTGCTTAACTATTTACTCAGTTTGAAGTTTCTAATCATATGATTAACCTAATACTTTTGTGACAGACAACTGAGATGGCAAACAAGGACCTAGACAGATATTACAATGCACTTGACAAGTGAGCTTTTCAACAAGTTTGACATTTCATTTCTTTTAGTATTGCATTTTTTTTACCTAATTCATTTAGGGGGATACATTCTTCATTTATTTGCTTAATTTTGAATTATTTAAGAATATATATGTATATTTGTATACGGTATTTTATGCGCCTAACAAAACAATTAGTATTTTCAGTAGTTTCTTAAGATGTAAAGTTGTAATAATAAATGATTTACTNTTATGTTACTCTTTTTTTGAAGTGTTTGAGGCCTGTGATGAACACAATGCTTGGAGCACTTGAATGGGTGTTTTGTTTTTTTAAAATACAACTACATAGATACAGAGGCATCAATTCATTCTTCATGCATGAAAGTGAGGGAACTTCCCAGAATTTCTTTTGCTTATAGGGTATCAATTATTCGAGAGCAATGTTATTAGTATATAATTTGAGAATTTAATGATTGTGGGTCGCCATTAGTTTGTCGGTGGGTTCCAATATTATATGAATCTTACTATTAATCTAATGGTCACAATACATATTAGGGACTATTCTAGTATATTGTTTGTCTCTGTTTTTTATCTTATTTTTTCATGCAGAGAATTACCAAATTAATGGAATTTGTTGAAAGAATGAATATTTCTTTGAGATGAAAATATATTTGCAATGTATGAATTTACATTTGTATATATATATAATAAAGTTCAATACAATTCAAGTCTCAAAAGATAAATAAAATAATTTTTATTTGTTGCGGTTGAGATTTTTTTAAATTTTACTTTAAAGTTAATCTAACCATTAATCTTAACACCTCAAATTTAACAAGGAAAATAGGTTTTTAAGGGTGTATTTTGAGTTATTTTTTAAAAGTGTTTTTAGAATTTAAAATTTTTCATAAGTATTAAAAAAAAAAAATAGTGTTTGGAACTTCTTAACTACTATCATCCCCATAGCTCCATCACCATCACTCCTATCACTACCATCACCACCCCACTATCACAACTATCCCCACCACAATCACGCTACCCCTATAATCACACCACCATTCCCCACCATCACCACTACAACTACCATCGTTTTCGCCACCACTACTATTGCAACCCCACCATTACCACTATCATCCCACCACCACCATCGTTGTTGTTACCCTACCACCACCCCATTGCGCCACCATCACCATCACTACTGTCGTCAACTTGTAGCCACCACCAACTCCACCATCGCCGCCACCACCACCACCGTTGCCACCCTGCATTGCCCCACCATCATCACTGTTGCCACTTTCACAACCTCCACTGTCACCACATTGCCACCATCATCACCACCACCGTTGTCACCACCTTATCACCATTGTTGTTGTTCCACCATCACCCCTACCACCACCCTTACTATCATTGTCACCTACCACTGATTGCTACCACCATC